CCCCCCCCTGCCTCTCTACCAGCAGATGCGAAAGTGCAACAGTGCTAGCGGATCTCGCTGACGTATTATTCATTGGAAATAGATACTGAATGGTGCAGCCCCTTTGATGACCCATACGAGAGCTGCGGCAGCTAATTCACACGCATTACAGCCCGTGATGACGAGCGAAGACCCTGATAATGAGGCGTTTTTACTCGCGTTACCAGGGTTGAAACGATAGTCCTCCCCTTTATTTTTAGATAGAGACTTTTTCGTGAATGTTGCGCGGATTTGGGTAAAGGTAGCAAGGATTATGCACTAATCAGTGTAAAAAATGACACCTTGTGAGTTTGACGAGGATCACTTCCAAAAGGAATGCAAGCGAAGGCGAATGTCCACCCAAAATGTGAACAACTACTCAAACGATCACAAATGACTTCCGGGGAATTAAACTTTTGAGATTTCTGGGGGGGGGATGCTCCTTTGGGCAATGTGGGTGGCCTCGTTCTACTTGGCAGCCTTACCGCAATAGGAGTGTCCTCCGGAAGATTTAGAAGTTCAGTTTCCGCTGGTGGTCGTTTGCGATTGTCTGTGTAAAACCTACAATTCTTTTGGGCAGTTTATTTTTTATAAGACAAAAAGCTGTATCTACTTTGCGAAAAAACCCATTATTTCTACCATAAATCCCAAAATTCCTCCAAAAATTCAAAAAATTGATAAAATCTGTGTGGGTGCTTTGCATGCCAATGGAAACTCAGACCCATAAAAGCACATACCATACTTCCCAATTAATGTTACTTACATTTAGCTGCATTTAGTCACATCTCTTGAAGAATATGGTTTACTTTATATTCTATCACTTAGGAATTTCTTGCCTTGGTCATCCCTCCACCCTTTTTTTCAGAATCCCGCTAAATCCGGCAGTCTGAAAATTTTAACTAAGCGCTTTCTAATTGAATGTATGCCTTCATGAGGATAGTCCCATTTGCACGTACAGGGTATTTCATTTTGAGTGTCATTGTCGGCGCGGCTTGGGTCCTCGCAAGCTGCCTTCCTTGGTCCACCCGACGCGTTCGCGAGGTGTCTCGAGACATTTTCCCAAGCTCTTCAGTCGTTCATGCCTAAGGATACGGTATTTCGTTTACTGGAAGTTTAGCACGTATGTGCTAAACTTCCAGTAAACGAAAGTGTGCGCAATTTTTTCTTTGCAGGAGAAGCAGAGGTCTTTTTCAGTCCTTCAGTGGCAAGACAGAGGAGTATGCCAACATTAAGAAGGTTCCTATAGTGGACATCCGTGTAAACTCAAATATTTTCAATCGCTTACAACGATTTCATTTTATTGAACCTTCACTACATCGAGTTGAGATGATGACTTACAAGGAAATGGTCAGGAGTCGAAGTGGCTAACCCAAGCAAGCTGCCTACCATTCGATGCAGCATTCAACGACGGTCTCAAACCTGTGTTCCGCATCTGCTTAGCTTCTTTGTGGACGAAATTATGAGCAGTTTTGTTGCCAAAAAATAGTGCCTAAAGGTAGCGAAATTGAGCCATTGATGCACTTTCAGCTCACCTCTAGGCTTTAAGAATATGAAGTAACTAGCTGCATGTTTTGGCGCCCGGCATTCAACCGAACATGGCTTTGTACTGCCAAATTTTGTTCCCAAAAAAATGGTCTGTCCATGGCCCTAAATCTTCTTCAAAATTGGAGCAAACGAACTTTTTATTGTGAGAAAACGGAACAAAGGATGTTCCTACTGAAGCGAGATTTGAGGAGTACACGAGTCTAGGAGGACCGTTTTGACGATATTTGCTGTATGGGGTCATTTGCGTTATGCAGAAAAGCTCAATGGACCTTAATATTGGGTGCTTCGATGTATGGCTTCGTTCAGAAGGTGCAGTTGGGTTGCAGGGCTGACCGTTCTGTTCTTGTCCTGCAATTTTCCGTGCAGGAATTCCTGCTCGTCTAACGAAAAATCTTGTTCAGGCACCTTGATTGACGCTTGGTCTTTTAGAGCATATTAAATTTTCTGTTGTGTCATATTGATGTATAAAACCGTCCTCCATAATCAGCAACAAATCCGTGCAAAAAACGCTTCTTAGTAAAGAAATAGCAGGCAACACAAGTGCTGAAATTTTCTTTCAAAAATCCCATGAAGCTGATAAATTGGATAGTTCAGCTTTTCATTGAATAATTGGGAACATTTTGAAGAGCATGATCACCTCTTTTCGAGGGTTGGGGAATATATTACGCCGCTAGGCTCCATCCCGTGTGCGGAGAGCTAGTACGAATTTGTAATGCCTGCAATGTGTGGAGCTGCATGCTTTGTCGCAGATATCCGCGAAGGACCGCCTCTTTTCGGCGACTTATAAGTCCACCATCCTCCTTTCGATGATACTGGCATCTTGCCGCTAATCAACCGCTTCTCACAAAAGTGACTACGACAGTGAAAACGCTGCGAACTTTAGGAACAACTTGGTATACACTTGCCATAATCACTTCTGGAGAAAGATACGGTAATAAAAAGTTCAACCTTGAAAACCTCCTGAAAAAAAAACCCAACACTTTCGCGTGGAAGTGTGAGGTAAACAGGAGCTGGGTTTGCCATTTTTCTCCCTCGTTCTTCTTTTTCCAGATTCAAGTTCAAACAGCCTGTGTGGACTGTGTCTACTATTATTAGGTTGGTGCAAAAGTGATGCGCGTTCTGCCACTTTGACGTGCTATAACTTTCTAAAAAATCTACATTTATCAATGCTGTAAAAATATTAGAGGCACCGAACCTTTCGCAATACAGCGCACATTCCCCTATACTCATATCACCAATGGAAGAAAGATATGAATTGGTAAGCAGAAAAGTTTTTTTCTGAGACTCCGTCTTTAAATGATCATGACTTCCTACAAAATCTGTTAATATAGATGATAAGTAGCTTATATTGTAGCCGGAAGCCAGTAATACAAAAAAAAGTTGAAAAGGTTTCAAACAAAGAGGATTTGCGAAGAGAAAAAAATTAAAATTCAAAATTGCCCGCTTTTCTGGACACTTTTTCATAAGTCTAAAAATCCCAAAATAAGTTTTTTTTTGATTTTCTGCGTAATGTACACAATTCTGTAAAGACTGTCAATAGGAGGCCCACCCTTCTTACAGAAATGAGCAAAGCTGATCAAAACGATTGCCCATGTTGAGGCGCCAAAATCCCAGCCTAGGTAATTTCTGAAAAAATAGTAAAGTATGCATAATGTAGACAATTCCCATTAAATGCAGCAGTTAGAATTTCAAAAGTTTGCCCTTATTCTTGCTTGATTTCTGGTCAAAAAAGTAAATGCAATGAAATTCTAGTTTCTAGTGCAGTTGTGTGAAGCTCTATTATTTTTCAACTAATGAAGCTAGAAGCCGTTTCAACCAGCCTTGAATAGAGGATGAAAGGAGCTTCTTGATAGTGTGCCAAGTTTTCTCCAAACAAGAAAGTTTGATGGAGAAAAGTTGTTCTAAAACAAGGAGGCAAACTAGAAAAAAGCGCATTACTTTTGCACCAACCTAATAGCACATATGAGAATGTCACAGCCCTTGTATGAATCGTGAATACCTGAGCGGCTCGGCTGGAACCTCTTTCGAACTTTGACTTCTGTTTTTTTGAGTAAATTATCAAATAAGCTTATGCTTTTGCCTTCTATAGCTTACTTTCCTCTACCATAGCTTGGGTTACCTAGTGCTCATGTCAAAGCTAAATGTTGTCGTAGTTTAACGTCCAAAAACTTCACTTTCAACAGATGGCCGCGTCTTTCGTCCCTCTCAATATACTCTATTGAATATTACCATGTCCTAGTTCCGTACAATGAATATCTTTGTACCAGACCCACTTCTGTATGCCGTACCGTGCCCCCACTATGTATTCGTATTTAGCATGCTCACGCACTCTTGTGCCAGTTCCTAGCTCATAGTTTGCAGAAAATTAATGAAACCGATATCGATTAATTACAATAATCGATTTACGGAACCCGCTCCACCCCGAAGTATGTGTGCAAAGTGTGGTCTGGATTGGTGAAATACAATTTTTCATTCAAGATTTACGTATAGTTAATTCGTTGACCGCACGGACTGGTCATCACTGCGGAGCACGCGCCACGAGGTAAAACGCTTGCCTCAGTCAGGGTCCGCACGAGTCGGTTTCTGGATTTCTGAAAACGAAATCTCCCCTGACTTTCGGATATTATGCGAAGTCCCCTTTGACCTACCTGCTTAGGAGAAGATGAAAACAAGAAAGATTTACTAGTTTGAAAGAAAAGACATGAGATATGAGTGAAAATCCAAATTGCAATATTTAACAAAGGTAAAAGAAATGAAGGCAAAAAACAAAGGAAAGGCAACGATATGAAAATGTCTTCATGCCCAGGGATAGATTTTTGATCGGGGAATCCGTCCATGCTAAAAAAAAATCCGAAACTTATGTGAAGTGACGAAAATATATGCTCCAGACGATCTCAGATCGTCTGGTGGCCGTCTGGAGACGATCTAATTTTGAAAAGGTGTTACTTCACGTAAGTTTTCAAATCTTTTTACATAATACTCTCGCAAATAATTTCCTATGCATACAAGTCAATTTTGGTGTCATATGCTTCTGTGTGCGCTGTAAACAAGCAATTTGTTTATTTAAGCCTTGCTTTCGAATCGCGCGCTTTTCGCCATGCACGATAGAGCATATCAATCGTGTGATAACCTGCCCGAAAAACTTGTGTTCGACTAAATGGCGCTTATTCTTGGTGCTCGGTTCCGACGTCAAAGACGACATCCCCTTTGCTGTTTGCTTTGAAAACGAAGTCCAGCCTGTTTCCAGACGATCTGTGCCGGGCCCTGGCCTCAGTACAAATCCGCCATTGTACAGGTCGTGGTCTCGCGACATTCAGCCGCGCTGCGCGTGGGCCGAGCGTTTGAGCAGTCCGTGCGGCAAAAGAATCTACAATACACACATACATGCGCAACAGACAGACATATAGCGAACAAACATTCAACTCTATATACACAGTTTAATGAGAGGTTGTTCTTTCAGTGCAGGAGAAGTTCGCATCAGTTAGGCCGTTTAATGCAATGCCTTCAATCGTTGCTCCATCCCCAAGATTGCTTACATAGTTTGTGGCGTTGTATTCATAAGAGTTAGCCAGAAGTAGATTGATGGCCGACTGATCGTACCTAAAAAAGACTCTGTTTCTGAAAACAAAAACATTAGTTGAAGAGTATATGTCAGGAGCAAGAGCTAACATGTTCATTGCGTGCGAATGTGGTCCTCATCAATGTGCAACCCTTAAAGGCAGCGTCCACCCAGAATTTGGCTCCCCGTGCTTTCGTCATTCTGGGGCCTTTCCGTGGCCCTGATTACAGTTTCGAACTTCAAACTCTCCAAATCACAAAAAACCCTATTCCTGGGGACCCTGTCTTGAAGGCGCGGACGAGTTGCAGACCCTCGTCCCCCTCGGCATGCCAGCGGGGAGGAGCTGCAACTCCATGGGTGCAGCTGCAGCAGTATACAGCTTCTGCTCACTACCATGTCAATACGTGTCGGGAGGCAGTCCATGGCTGGGCGGCGTTTGATATCAGCCAGGGACTTCTAGGCCCCTTATCTCCATTCGGAGACAATGTTAGAAGACCGGACCAACGCAGATGCCTCTTTTCTGGGGCCTACATTCACGATTAGCCTGGGCACTACCTTTAAAGACATTGTCCAGGCCAAATGGAGGTAGTGAGATTTTGACGCAGTGCGGGAGCATGGCCCCTGACTAATGGAACAGTCCATGTCCGATCGAAAAAGGTGGATTCTAAAGCGAAAAAATCGCTTCGGAAAAAAGGGACGGTCCGCGAATCCCGCCTCCTTGACAAGTTTTGACGTGGCGAATGCATTAGATCCAATGTACAAACCACGTAAAAACTTGTCAAGGAGGCGGAATTGGCGGACCGCCCCTTTTTTCCGCTTTTATACGGAGCGATTTTCTCTCTTCAGACTACACTTTTTTCAATGGGACTTGAACTGTTGCATTGGTCTGGTCAAAATCCCACTACTTCCAGTTGACCTGGACATGTCTTTGAAGACAGCGTACACTCCCAAAAACCCCGATTTTCGGGGACCCTCTCTTCAGAGGGTGGACGAGTTTCGAACTGCTCGTCCCTGTGGGCATGCCAGCAGCTGCAACAGCATGACAGCATGCAGTTGCAACAACTGCAACTGCTGCTTATGCTGTCGTGGTTCGTCGTCCGAAGGAGGCGGATGCAAAAAGCAACTACACTGTTGCTGCAGTTGCAGTTGCAACAGCAGTTGCAACTGCAAGCAACTGCAACTGCAGCTTACGCTGACGTGGATTTCGTCCGAATGAGGCGGAGTGAAAGGGAAGGGGCGGAGAAAAAAAACCAGGCGGGTTTTCTCCGCTCAGAAGCAACATTGGGAGACCGGACCAACGCATTTGGTCTTTTTCTGAGCTCTAGATATACACGGTATAGAGAATTGGGTAACTTATATTTTGGGCGCACGCTGCCTTTAAGCTGCACTCCACCACTGTGGAAAATGTCTCAAATGCCAGACGTTTGGGCATGCCTAAAGACTAGTGCCGCAAATGTTTTTTGCAACTTTTCTATTAATTACCACATCCTCAGTATAATGTGATTTGTATGCGAAGCGTTTCCACAAAAATGGATAAATTAGAAAAAAGACTTCGCGGAATCAAAGAATTTGCCTGATCACTCCAACTGAAGAACACTTCTATTGTTAGTATAGCAGGCGTCATTCGTCTACTCACCTCAGCGTCGCACGTGCTCCACAAAAGCGATATGTATTGATTTCGCTGAGCGTTAGATTGATGAAATATAGCTGAACAGCTAAATTCTCGGCAGAAAGCACTTTCAGAAGGAAAAAACATTTTGGTGCCCTCAAACAAGACATCTGCCTTTGTGCGCGGTTATGGTGAGATGTAGACAAAGCCTACTAAATACACTCAACTTGTAGAAAATCTTATTGCTGTAATAAGTAATGGATTGAAAATGACCGCAACAAGACCCAAGACTAGGTTTTGTGTGGTGAAAGACAAAAAGGCACTGCATATAACTTCAAATTGTCATAACATATGATATGGGCCATATCGTTGGTCAACATTCATGTTTGCAGTTTCTCGCATTTGCGAGTACTAAGCGATAGTAATAGTATGTTTGATGAACTATAATTTTAATTGTTCAAGTTCATAGACGAGCAATTTCGTTTGAAGGAAGGAGTCTGGTCTTGGAATGGCCTTAACAATGGGTGAGAAGCATCAACATTTTACAAATAAAGCAAGACATCCCTGTTTTGTGAGAGAAAGTATGGAGAGTTATTTCCTTCAGTTATCCAAACTACTGGCGAAAAAGGCGAGCCTTTACTTCGGAGAAAACTTTGAGAGTTAGGCACACCAAATTCAATCCACTGTGGGGATGCTCTACACCTCGAGGAAATGAGTTATAAAGCAACACCGCTAAACAGGCGAGTGAATCAAGAAATTGCGCAAGAAAGCTGAAAGAAAAATTGTTAATGGCGGCACAAGCGTGCTGTATGTGTGCCATGGAGGTATTTGGGGCCGATGACATGTCTATTTCGTTGTTGCGGTTTCATCGCCGCAAATGTTGGTAGCTTGGACTATGAAACTTGTGACTCGCTTACGGCTATGCAGAGTTAGCAAAAGGTTTGTGCACACGCTTTGCGACATTGTCTAACCTTTGATTCAACTGAACTAAGACGCTCCTGCCAGCTACGCAATCTGCGTCCCTTCCGCACGCGTGCTCTCTGATCATTACCTAGCTTTAATTAGGTTCTGAAGACCCGCCTTCCCGCCGCCAAGCCGGTTGATTCAAATGGTACTAATTTGCGGCGATTAATGTAGCTAAGCGAAATCAGTAAATTATCTTCTCATAATAACATTCTAGGACTCTTAAAAAAGCCTTCTCCTCTTTCTATGAGAACAATGGCAGGAAGATAAGTTAGCCAAGGTAAGAAATACCTTGAAAAACAACCTAAAAAAATCGTTTTTAGATTTAAACAATCTCGACCAATTAAAAGATTGGTCCAGAGAATTGTGGTTCAAGACAAATTATGAAGAAAACAATATAGAAGATATATGATTGTTCGAAAAATAAAAAAAAAACCGCCTAATCATCTCGGCTTATAATCGAAAGCTCTCCAAAGTTCTCAATCTCGATATCGTCCGGTCGTCGTGCAGCACACGAGACGCAATATCGCGACGTTTTGCCGAAATTGCGGCTATTATCGTCGATATGCCCTAACAAAAAAGTCGGCGATCAGTGCGCCAAGTAACTGACACAACCACCACTGCAGACCGTGGGCATGCATCAAATGGTGTAACAGATGTCCTCGGTCCAAAGCTGGCCTAATTACTGTGCCAAGCATTGAATAGTTTGCATTCAGACAAATTTCACGAACATAATAAAAGATATAGTCTGTACTAATGGGGTCAGGCCAAAAGTAGTGGGTGCGCGCCGCACCGCTGCGATTTTGCGCCAGGTCTACTACTGCTACAGGTGTTTGTGATAGAACAGTCTTAGACAGGGTGTCCCAAAAAATGTGAACACTGTTTGATTGTTAATAACTCTCTTGCTTTCATGTCTTTTGCCGAGCGTGAGGCACCACTCTACAGAACGAGGTTCAACTTACAAGGGAATGAAGGTGGGTCGAAGTGGCCTTTCAATATGATATGTATACTGACTTGACGGGCTCGGGACGCTGATTCCAAATCTGGCTTCGCTATCTGCTGGAGGCCTCTGGGTGAAGAGTTATGAGGGATTTTAAGGCCGCAGCGGCAGAGAAATGCGATCGACACCGGCAGTGCATTGTGTGCCTGGTGGTCGAGTGGTTAGTGAGACGGTCTCTGAAGCACATGCTCCCAGGTTCGAATCCCCCCAGGCATTTTCCTTTTTGCATTCTTGCAATAAGTCCATACAGATGCAAGATTCGTCTCCACGCAATCTTTTGCTTCTTTTATGGCAATTTGAGCCGGATTTCTTGTGTTTTCGGAGACTTGGCAAGGGTTATAAAACAAAGGGAGGGAGCCATTGGATGCCATATTCTCCTCGGAAAGCCAAACAGGCCAGAAACTCTTATACTATGGTAATGGAAGCCGCTGATTTCGAATATGAAATTTTCACTTTACTGTGATGCTTCTTTCCAAAGTTATCCCAGGTAAATCGTAATAACTTTATTTCCACCATTTGTCAGAAAGGTGATTACACCGTCAAAAAAGCTAAAAACAGTTATAAAAAGTTGTGTAATGGAATCAGCGTGCGCGGAAACCCTAGTACACGATTTTCCAGATTTTTTGAAAAAAAATTTGTCAAATGGCATATTTCACAATAGATCCACATGCTGCAAGTTCATACCGTAATCCCACAGTAACGAACACCGACCGGTGACTCGTTCCATACTACAAATCTAAGTTGAACCTCGCTCTACAGAATGGTGCCTAAGCTCTGCGAAAGACATGAAAGCAACGGAGCATTAACGATCAAACAGTGTTCACATTTTTTTGGGATACCCTGTATGTTACCCCCCCCCCCCCCCCCACCTCTCCCGCAACTACCTCGACCTCTCCAATAATTTCATGCGAGCAAGTGTTGCAAAACTCTAGCGTTGCAATTTTGTAATTGTTAAGGCAACGTTTCAGCTTGATATCGACAGGGAGAGACTGTAAACCTGTGGCAACCGGCGTATCGGTTAAAACGGTCGTTTTGGAAGTCGCAATATAGTCCGGCGTCATGAGGTGCCATGCAATCTTTTTCGAGTGCGCATAACACATACCTAAACAATACGATCACAAGAGCCAACAAGCATGTGTAAATTTACCATTTCAGTATTTCATGGGCGTCTGCAGTTGCGACAATGAACTGAAAGCCAGCATCGTGATTCATAGAAGCATTTGTTTTGATAGCTTCGATATCCGTAGGAATATACTTGTACATCCCTATGTGGTCATTCGTCTTTTACGTTTGATGAAGGGCAATGATCAGGGTCAAGCGCAGGGTGTGGCGCATCACACCTATGGGGTATTATTGAGGGATCAAAGAAAGAAGAGGGTGTAATCGAGGTGATACTGATGTTAGCAATAACAAATCGTTAACGATGTTAGTCAAGCGCCTTGCAAATTGCAAGTGCACAAAGGTAGTGGTTTTTTTGTCTATCATTGTATGTACAATCAGCACAGTGAAGAGCCCCTCCCAAACATAACGAGTATAAAACTCTTACGTATTGAGTTTTAGAATCTGAGGTTTCGAAGTGTTGGGCCATCCAAGAAAAGTGGTCATTTTCGTACACCATTGACTTCGCTTCAAAGATAAGTTACCTTTTATCGCACTCAGTACGAAGCACTACTCCTTCATTGTCGACATGAGAAACCCCACTCTCACAACTCCCCAAACTATGGACTTAAGAGCCTCCCAAAATCTCGTTTGTTTCATGTTCGTTTCTAATGGCTGCGTTTCAGCAACTATTATTCAGAATAGAGAAGACGAATAATTTAAATCAATTCCGTATAAACTAAAAAGGGAAGAATACGAAGGATATTATATCGCAGTGGCGAACCGAAATGATATGCATGTCATTACATGCGTCTTGATGAGCTAATTCCAAATCTAACTTCCATATCTGCCATCTGTTCTCTAAAAGAAATTATGGTCGTTTGAATGTCCAAATTTGGCAAATATTCTGTCATCCCATCTTCAAGAATTACTTGCTCAAAAACACTTATTTATGTGTTTCGTGTATGTTTGTATTCTTTGTAGTTAGTGCACTCAAAACCATGCCTGACTCTCAAATCGTTTGCAAAGCTCATTACGCTTCAAAACTCCATTGACTTCACATCTTGACCGCCCATAGCTTCTTCTAGAGAACAGCTTAGCAGATGAAAAAAGGAGATTTGGAAACAGCTAATCAGTTCGCATCCGAAGATATGCATATCATTTCGCGCCATTGCGACTTCGTTTTCTTCCATCGTAAGATAATTAATCGATTTATATATAGGGTGCGGAAAAAGTACTGTCCCTCCAACTTGGCACCTGAAATACCCCAAACATGAAGTAAATCTGTAGTTTTTTGATTCCCACAAATAGGCGAGGTCCTTGAGATTAGATAAGGATAAGTTCGATTTGAAACTGTTCCCTTCTGTCCGTTTGAACGAGTGATAACAACGCGCAAGAACATTAACGATGCGCCGATAGCATGCCAGCGCGATTTTGGACCGTAACTATACCACCAGCATAGATATAAGTTTCAAATTAAGCTGGTATGTAGTCCATGAAGCTTTCTTCGATATTCTATACCCATTGTAGATGAATTATAGATTAGTGACTCTTGTTTGGCCAAATAAGGACGATTATACCACACGCAAATCACAAAAATTCTCGAAAAAGAGGCTTTTCAGGACTGCGCTTGCTTAATGAATTGGACTCAAACTATGATTCGAAACTCCAGATTCCAACAAAAAGTAGCACGAATAATAAAAAGGGCATCGGATTTTGTCTACATCACGATTTTGGAGCGATAAACGATTATACCTAGTCTCTGTGCCACGTTTTCTGATCGCACTCTGTTGCGCCACAGCCACTTTCTCGTTAGAAAAATTCACAGCATTTCTACTAGTGCAAGTGCTAATGCAATGCTGGATACTTTCAGAATATTTCGGGATCCACTACCAAATTGCTTAAGCAGTAGAGGATTTCTCAAGTTCGCGTGACAAACAAAATTTTTTCAAAAATTCTCACAAAATCCTTAGATTTGTAAAGGGGAGTTGCAAGATTTGATATGAGATCCCCTGCGAAAATGGATCCGCTGTCGGGTAAAATTGTAGAATTTTGAAGCCACTTTTTGTAAAATGATAGAATATATTCCCATGTTGGGAATTATGTCAAATTTACCAGAAAAACCTGTGAATTACATAAATTTTTTAAACTTTATTTTAAGGGACAGTACTTTTTCCGCACCCTGTATTTTTGTCTTGTCCCCTCGCAATATGCGTAGTGGTAGCGTACTAACTTGACTCAATATTTGCCCTAAACATAAGACGAAAAAAAACGATTATATCTTTTTTCAGAAGTAAAGATATGAATGTAATCTCTATTGTGAAGAGAAGAAGGTTTAGCGGGGTCTCAACATTATAAAAAAATCAAAATGTTACACTATGAAGATAAGTCAATGGGATGTGGCACAACTGCAGTGAAGGTGTAGCAGCCGCAGCTTTTTTAGGGTTGTGTCACACCCCATTAAGTAACCTCCAAAGTAACTTTTAGCGAACGACTATTTATGACTCTACAGCTCAAGTGATGTAGTTTTCACAGCAATAATTTGAAAGTGGTCCTTTCATCGACTTAACTAACTTTATTGAAGGTTCAACCACTGAAAGCAAAAATGGAACAAACGAGATTTTGGCTGGCTTCCAATTCCATAGTTTGGAGGTTATTTAAATTGAAATTCTTCATATGGGCAAAAACGAAGCTGTCTGACAGCAAAGACAATGTACTGATTGTGAGTGCTAAGAGTCACCTAACTCACCTTTGTAAAAAACTTAATTATGTTCGAAGTGACCATTTCACTTATGTGGCTAATATCTGTGAATCACAGAATTAGCTGAAATTTGGTTCACACGGGGTTATCGGACATGGTTACGAATATAGGGTTTCATGTTTCGTCGACGGTAGGAAGTCGATTCGCCATGAGGGAGGTAGGGAGGGGGTGAGTATTGAAACACGCTGCAATGGGATTCGGCGATCGTGTACCACACCCAGGGCCTGACACGCGTTGGTTTGGAGGTTTTTAGGAAATGAAGTCCCCCATGACTTCGCAAAAATTTACGAAGTCCCTCTCGACGTGAAAATCAGTAGGGAAACCCTTATTCAACCAAAATAGCAACAAAAAAGCGAAAAAAGCGCATTTTGAGGTATGTAATACAACAAAAAAGCAAAAAGAAAACATTTCGAGTCGATTAAAAGCTCTGCCATTGGGTATAGTACCATTTTGATGCTGGGAATGTCGAAAATCTCCTAGACCAACCAAATCTGTAGCCTCAACAATCCTGCGATGCATTTTTCGCCACATATTCAAAGGACACCGCAAGTGATTGGAGCGCGACATCTATCGACGCGTAGAATTATACTACTTCTGACTTAAAAAAGGGGAGAGGCAACGGTTTGATCCGCTCTCTTCACTATATAATAGATTTTTTGACCGTTCTAATCGTCCAAATCAAAAAGGTCCAAAACTTATGTGAACTCTCCGATATTTATGCTCCGAACCAACCCAGTTGGTTTGGTAGTTGGTCTAGAAACCAACAAATTCGAGAACGGATATTAGGACACATATGTTTTGGGAACTTTTTACATAACATAGTTTGGAGTAATATTGTATACACACATAGCCCAAATTCGGAACCATGTGATTGTTTGTGCGCTGTAAACAAGCCATTTGTTTGTTTGAGTTTTGCATTTGAAATTCGCGCGCTTGCGAAAGAACACGTTCAACTCGTGAAACCTGACATGTTCGTCATGTTTTTTTAAGCGCTTCCTCCAGGACCTCATAAAAACGATGTCCTCGTTGCTTCTAACTCCAACAACGAAGTTCAGTTTGACCCCAAACCATCGGTGCCGGGCCCTGACCACACCTCTTTCAAGACTCTGGACATATTACAATATGTGGGACGTCCCATCAAGATGTGCATACCGTTTGATCGTCAACAACTCTTGCTCTACTCTACCGCTGGCTTTAAAGGCAGTGTCTCACCAAAATTTAGTTTCCGAGTTTTTTGCACTTTGCAAGCCTGTTGGACCCTGTCTAGCACTGTGTGGGCCTAAAATCGCACGAAGTTTCCAAAAACCCCGTTTTCTGGAGGCCCCGCGGAAGCAACGTGGACGAGTTGTACCTTCCAACTTCAGCCTCAGCCACAGTGGCTGCAACACAGGGGAGGGGAGGTGGTTGCCAAGTGGAGGGACATGTTCAAACGCGTAAGGGAGGAGACCGAAAGAGTCGTCCGCGCGTACCAAGTTCGCTCTCCGCGTACCACTTTGAGCGAATTTTTCTCAGCTTGGAGGGGTCAAATTGAGTGGGACTTGTTGCAATGGCCTATTTGGAGGTCCCTATAATAGAATATGTGAAAATCCGCGCGACCTCAACTTTGGTGAGACACTGCCTTTAATACCGTAAAATCACGGTAGGAACTTCCAGAAAACGACCCTAACACGTTGACAACGAGCCATTCTTTTGAATTCTGTCCCTGTGGACGAAAATCCCTACGCGCCTGCTTAGAATCGCCGGAGGTAAGCGGCCATGCAATTTTTGAGCAAGCTTTGAGCAAGCGGGCACCGGAAAAATAGTCCGCTGATTTTTTGCGGACCGCTTGCAGATAACCGAAAAAATGTTGGACGCTTTTTAGACGAGTGCTCAGAGATCGCCGCTTCTTTATAGTTTAATTGCGGCGCAGTATTTACATTCCCGTGGACTTTCCGCAACGAAAGACAAAAATGTTGAGGCTGCACGGTCGTTTGTGAAGGACCGCACAGCCCGTAGGTACCTCCCGCTAAAAGAAGGTACCCCAAACTCGGGTACAAACCATAACCAATCCTCTACCACATAGAGTCTCACCATTGCTCGGCGTACGGCGTAAAAAGAGTCCGAGCGCCTGCTGAAAGTTTTCAGCGCTCGTTGAAAAAAATTATTTGACGAGCGTTCGCAGAAAATTCTATATTGCTGTCCGCTGGCAGAATATGTGACCGTAAAGGAAGTACCGTTTGCTGAAGGTTTGGCCAAGTCCCAAAATTTTGCTGACCGCTTGCAAAAAGCGCGAGTTTGCGGGCCGCCTGCCCCGACGATTATCTGAGTGGCCACATGTATGTATGCGTCTACGCAGGAGGTATAAAATGTGCAAGCTCCACCCTCATGTGGCAAGCTCCGCCCACTCGGCCAAAAATGTCGGAAATTGCCCAAATTTTAAAGATTCATGCGATTTTCGTCATTTTTGAAGAATAGGCAGAGCTTGCCAGTTAGGGGCTGAATTTGCCTAACGTGGGCGGGGCCTGGCTCAAAGTTGCTTGAGGTCTTTGTGTTCATCTACGGCCTCATCCATGTTTTTTATGAACAAAAAGGGCTCATTGTGAGAGGCATAAGAGTGGGCGGAATTCTCCAAAAGGGGCGGAGCTAATAAATGAAGTACATCTGAGCCTGTGTTGATTATATGAACAAGAACTGAGATTATTGAACAGATAATATTGAAATTAAGGCCGCGCGCACCATTGCGCGGCGTCGTCCACAGGGACAGGCTGCCTGCCGCGCACAATTGCGCGGTACTGTCGTCAAAGTGTTGAAAAAGGGAGATAATTAAAATTGTGCAAATTGGTGATTTGTGTGGCAAGATTTTCACGCATGATGATTATTACACAAGTGCAAAATTTTTTAATTTTTTGAATGGTGTGACTACATTCTTGGGACCTTTGAAAAAACAGTCGGCATAAAAAATTCAGCTTGAATAGTAGGTATAGTCACAATTCTGAGACCATCGATAGGACAGTGGCTAAAGTATGCGGCATAAGAGCAGTGCGATAAATTGCAAATTTTATGAACAGATTCCGCGACCTGATAGATCTAAAGCGAGTGTGTCAGCTTGTCTGGTTTCTTTCTGAGGCAAAATGTTGCTATCAATCGCTCAGAAGACTTTTCCAAAGTTCCTATTGGAATCCTCCAGTATCAAATATCTATCAATGATTGCCTTCATATCGTGAATCTACGCCGAACTAGCTCTACAGACTGTTACCAAAAAATTCGCGAATTATTAGGCTGTCTCATAAATTTCTTCAGTTATGGTTTTTTTCCACAATTAGTCACATATTTCTCAATTTTTGGAATGCAGAGTATTGTTCGGTAGAGCAAAGCAAGCTGTGTAGATGGCGTGTAAATGTTCGCACTGCGTACGCACACCACGAGTTAAAGGCCGAAATCTAAAATTTTTGGATTCCGAAAAATTGAAATTATATTCCCATCCAAAGAAAACCTACCAGACCCCAAATGCACTCACACATATATACTCCACATAAGACATCCATATGCGCCGTTGGTGCTTTTGTTGATAAGCTAGAAACCGAGAAATCTAAGATTTTTAAGCTCCAAAAAGCGATGCTCATCGTCATTACATAGGTAAATGTATACTATAAGTCTTTGAAAATTCATCGGCAAATTTTCACCTTCAAGCGTTAGTTCTTGAGAAATACCAAATTCAGCTCTTCCTGCAAGGGTATATTATGTCGAAATCAACACTTCTCGGGAACTGAAGCTTTTAGAAAGCTGTGCTTGCACTTTTAAAGACTTGTGATAATCTACTCATATGAGAACGGCGCAGAAATGGAAATTTCAAAAAATTTAGTTTTCTCAGTTTCTAACACGAAAACGAATACAGCAACGGCATATATGAATGTCTTATGTGGAGTATATATGCTTGAGCGAGTTCGAGCTTTGGTAAGTTCAGATCTGATAGATATATTGGGTTGTGACATGTTTGTCCAATTTTTTGCTGTTCAGAAAAATCGTTTTTTTTGCTTTCCCTTCGACCAATTTCGTTTGACATCTAGGCACTGTCTTTTTGCTCGCAGAAATCGCCTAGTAAGAAGTTGCAAGTAACGTTGCGGATGTTAAAGGCTAAAATCTCATTAGACTTCAACCAACAACTAGCAGCTGTCCGAGAAGACTTTGCGGGGAGGGAGAAGGAGGGGGGGGGGGGGACAACGAAGATTTTTTTCGAACGAACAGGCATGGCATTAGCCACGCCTCTCGCGAAAGTTTTCGGGACGCTTTTTAGATGTTTTTGCGGACCCATAGTTCCCACGAGACGTAAGCTCGCCACCTTCTCGGTCCGCCACTGCCGACAACCTAACCACTCATTTGGCAAAATTGCATGTTCAGTTATAGCCAGCATGAAAGAGCATCAGGCCACTATTTTGTTTTAACTAAAATTAGCCAAAAGTTGTGCTGCCCTAATCTTGAAAAGATCGGTTGTAAAATGCTTGATCCGCATTTCCGCCATTTGACACTACTTTAAAGCTTAGGCAATCCATCGTAAAAGCTCAGACCAACTCTCACCGAGTAGTAATTTGTAGCAACATTTTTTCAACTAAAAATCGCCAACAAACGTTGCCCTCATTCCAACTTTTCTTTATTTCAGCTTTGCTCGCCATGTCACTTTAGCGCACAAAAGTTTGTCTTTGCTAAACCTCTTGGGAACAGAGGCATTTTATAAATTTACAGTCTTCTACAATGCAATCTATGTTATCTGAACAAAAGCGGGCTTTCCCAGCTGCCCTACCTGGATGAGTGGTTGCAAATATGCTGTGATCCGATGGATGATGAAGCATGTAAGCAGGCTGAAAAATGTTGCTAAAGTCTATCGCAACCAAACATATTACGCTAAGTTTGTGCTAAAGCTTCTGACATGCTTATCCAATAACAGGCTTAGCATTGGGCTGTGATCGATGGCAACTGTGTACTCGCGTGCGCCTCAATGCTAAGCGTAGCACACGAGCCAGCTTGAAACTCATGCTAGTTACGCCCACGGGAACTCAGGTAAATAAAGCTACGTCTTACCTTCTTGCACTTCAAGTCCCTCTTCCCAGTAAACGAAAGCAGCCTTAAAAATTAATTCTAACAGAAAGCAGAAAAAGTTTCTAGCTTAAGAGAAGATGAGAACAAGAAAGATTTACCAGTCTGAAAGATAAGACGTATGATAAGAGTGAAAATCCAAATTGGAGCTGACTACTACGCATGCACAAGACTTTGGCATCAGAGCGCGATATTTAACAAAGCGAAGAAATGAAGGCAAAAAACAAAGGAAAGGCAATGATATGAAAATACCTTCATGATCAGGGATAGATTTTTGACCGGGGAATCCGTCCATGCTAAAAAGATCCGAAACTTATGTGAAATGACGTAAATATATGTTCCAGACGATCTCAGATGAGGATGCTGGAGACGATCTAATTTTGGAAATGCTATTACTTCACATAAGTTTTCATCTTTTTACATAACCCTTTCGCAAATAATTCTCTATACAAACAGTTCAATTTTGGTGTAATATAGTTCTGTGCGCGCTGTAAACAAGAATTTGTTTATTTAAGCCTTGCTTTCAAATGGCGCGCACTTTTCGCCATGCACGATAGAGCATGTCAGTCGTGTGACAACCTGTCCAAAACCTTGTGTTCGACTAAATGTCGCTTATTCTTGGTGCTCGATTCCGACTCAAATCGACTTTGACTCCCGTCAAAAACGATATCCTCTTTGCTTTTGCTTCAAAAACGAAGTCCAGCCTGCTTCCAGACGATCTGTGCCGGGCCCTGATTTTACTAGTTAAAATCACCCAATTTGATCTATTTTACCATTTGAAGCTTTTGAGGAGAATCTTGAAAGTTGCAACCTGTATTTATACCTATCTAAGTCATATTCAGCATTTGAAGAGGAAAGCAAAACTTTTATTAATAATTTTCACTCTTCGCAGTAGCGCAATTTATTTTTGAAAAAATAAATTCAACTCCATCCACGTTCTCGTTTCGCAGAAATGGAAAACGGTATTCGAACCAGCACCAAAAGGCGCATTTTTTCATATGAACCATTACGAATGGCCGGGGTCACCAAGTATCGTTCCCTGTTTAGTTTGGAGGTTGAAGTGGATTCCTATGTGCGAAAAAGTATTCTTAGTTTTGAGTGCAAAAAGAAGTAGTTCCGCATTTGAGCTTGGGTGGTCCAAAATTTGGAAACTCAGAATTCACTAAAACTTGGTCCACAGGGATTATTTGTCATCCTAATCACGAAAATGATTCACTTATACTTACTTACGAGCTCTCTAAGGCTCTTTTATCATGCTTACTATACGCATACGATTGTAGGCAAAAACATTAAGTGCCATGTAATGAGCCTATTTGGCATGTTTAACCTATATCATGTTATCGCTAACATCATCGCCTTGATAATGACCATTCCCCCTTTCCTGACCCTCAAACAACCCCCAAGTGTGGCGTGCCACACCCCACGCTTAACCTGGTCATTTGTTGTGGGATTCCTTATACGGGCAAAGACGGAAAAATGCTTTATCATGCACTAAGTACAAAAAAAGTAGCTTATTCATTTCTATAGAAGGTGAACGTGTTTGAAAATGACAACTTCATCTTGTTGGCCCAGTATTTGAAATCTCAGAATTCGCTGAAACTTGATCAATAGAATTTTTTGACATGCTAATTACAGCACTCATTTGCGTGGGGGGGGGGGGGAAGAGTCGTATGCGATGGTTGTGTCGCTCGCACCTCCACGAACCTAATTATGGTTCATCAAGGTAGGGCTTCCAGAAAATTTTTGTGATGTTTTGGGTAGAAAATCTTTTCCGTTGTGGCTAAAACGATTTTCACAGGATAGAATACTGTTAAACATTTGTGGATTACAGATTTGTTGCAATCGCAAAGAATGTTCAAAATAAATAGTTTGCTGGTTCGAGTTTGTACTCAGGGGCACGGCGCAATTGGCTTACCAAGCAAGCTGGATAATGTTTTTGGGAGAAATGTAAGGGGATATTTTGCGAACAGCATACCGCTTCTTCCGCTTCTTTGGAAAGAAAAACTCATAAATTTTCTCCCCATCACACAATTTTATTTACTTTACGTAAATTCCATCTACATCCCAAGCCCAACAAACTGGCTCCCAAACCGCCTCAAACCCCTTCCTCAGCTTAGTTACAGCCCCCGAAAATCTTGGACGGCGGCGGCAACACTGCTCCAGGCGCGTAATGCTGCGTGCTGGATACGTTATGCCGCCAATCCGGAGAACACGAATCATCGCGTTTGTTTGATGTTGCTTTGGCCTTTCTTATTTAGCTTTGTTACGTTCTTTTTCATGTGTTTTCTCTTCTAATATCTCATGTCTGTCGTACTTTCATAGTGGAGTCAAAAAGAACTTCGTTTTTCGAGTGTCGGGAAGTCACTTGTGTCGAGTCCTGTATGAACATCAACAATGAGTGAATTGAAACATGACTGCATGATTATATCTTTTATACGGTGTTTTTCTTTGCTCACATTGTAATAGGTTGAGCTAACTTTCAACCTAATCTTATCGGCAAATTATTGCCATTATCTACCTAGTCACTTGTTTAGGAAAAGACAAACAGAGCAAATAGCTCATTTCATATCGAATAAAGATTACCACAACATGATGGGTAATGGCATCGCGCTCATTCATTTTGCCCGTTTGTGAGTCAATTCTTGAAATTCGAAATCAATTTGTGAACTTGCAACCCTGTTTCTTGAACAATAAAGTGCAAGTCTCGAATAACAAACAACAAGTCTCATATAAATACAGGAAATTACTTAGGCATCTTTGATTGTTTTTTCAATATTTTTCAGAATGACTTTTCCAAAAGATTCATTTTTGCGAAGTCGTAAAATATCATCATCAGATTATAATATACTCACAATCAGACACTGGGAGCGGACGAGCCGCGACCCCAAAAGGCCTTTCCGGCCCGTCCGCGGCCTTAAAGGCAGTGTCCCGGCAAATTCGCGCCCTGGGGGATACTGCTATGGTGGGATTCCTGGTCATCCCACTGACCTCCAGGCGCAGTCCGGCTGGTTGATGTTCCCCCTGGGCCACAGGTGCGATGAGGTGAGAATGACTCCTCCAGGGTGAAGGGGGTCACAGTGGTCGCAGCCTCTCCAAGGTGAAGGGTGTTTCACTTAGAGAAATTATATAATGTCGACGACGGGGGGGGGGGGGGGGGGAAGGGGCATGGTGTTTTCCCATCATTTTTCCTGGTCAGAGTTCATAATTTATTCCTTACCATCACTGGTTAGCTTTTTTCTGAATTGTGAACCCATGTGCTGCTGGATTAGCACGCAATTATATTTCTGACCAGCACCTCGCATTTTTTAACATTTCCTTTTTCTTTTTTACATCACCCTGCCTGTTTTTGGAATTACCATAGAAGATGTGCATGCGATAACATTTGTTTCGGAAAGGGTTAGACAATTTTTGAACATTTACGAATTTTTTCTATAGAAGAAGTTCATAATTTTAGATGAACAGCAACGTCAGCAAAGAAAATGTTTTTAAGACTACCTTGTCTTTCGCTTTTAGAGAATATATAGTTTGCTGGAGTCTGTTGAAAAAGTGCCTGGTGAAGAGTGTGCGTAGTGATTCCTGGATATTTACGAATTTTTAAGATAGAAAAATCCGTAACTTCTGAAGATGGCCATCTTGTACACCAGATAGTCACTATTGAAACCGTCTTGTCCTCCGCTTTCAGAAAATATATACCCTGCCTAGAGTCCATTGAAAAAAGTGTCTGGGTGAAGGGTGGGTGAGACTTTTATAATGGGAGTGCTCAAGTACAGGCTTTTTTACCATTGTAAAAAGGCGTCTACTTGAGCACTCCCATTATAAAAGTCTCATCCACCCTTCACCCGGCACTTTTTCTAATGGACCCCGGGCAAAGTATATATTTTCTGAAGGCGGAGGACAAGACGGTTCTAATGGTGACCATCTCGGCGTACAATATGTTCATCTACGAAAGTTATGAATTTTTTTATGTTGAAAACTCGAAAATCTCCAAAATCACTAGGACCCCCTTCACCCAGGCACTTTTTTTAATGGACACTAGGCAAAGTATTAGGTTGTCAAGAAAATAATGTCGTTTTTTATTTGATTGCTTTAACAAAGCAATCAGACTCGATCTAACATAGGATAATGGATATTGTTCGATAGAGCAAAGCAAGCTCTACAAGATGGCGTTCGAGATTTTGCGCCATGCTCGATACAAGGAGAGTTCGAACCCAAAATCTAAAGATTTCCAAATGCCCAAAAAATCGAAAAAAATCAGATCTCCGTTCAAATTATTTATACGGACCTCCCACTCGCTCACATCAATACTATCGATATCTGATATCCATATGTGCGATTGCCGTACTTTTTCCTTGACTAGAAACTGAGAAAACGAAAATTTTCCTGATTTTCTCAAAGCAATGCTGAGCCGTTTTTGCATATGTAATTCTATACTACAAGCCTAGGTAAGTATAACTGTAGATTTTCAGCCTGTTTCGAGCGGTACTTTTCGAGAAATGTTGATATTAGCACTGAAACTGAAACCAAAAAATCCGAATTCGTTATTTTTTGAAAACCACCGCTTGGAATGCGCTGAAAATCTACAGTTATACTTACCTAGGCTTGTAGTATAGAATTACATATGCAAAAACGGCTCAGCATTGCTTTGAGAAAATCAGGAAAATTTTCGTTCTCTCAGTTTCTAGTCAAGGGAAAAATACGGCAATCGCACATATGGATATCAGATATCGATAGTATTGATGTGAGCGAATGGGAGGTCCGTAGAAATTATTTGGACGGAGATCTGATTTTTTTTCGATTTTTTGGGCATTTGGAAATCTTTAGATTTTGAGTTCGAACTCTCCGTGGATCGAGCATGACGCAAAATCTTGAACGCCATCTTGTAGAGCTTGCTTTGCTCTATCGAACAGTACCCCTTACCCTTTGTCGGGTTGAGTCTGGTTGCTTTGTTAAAGCAATCAAATAAAAAACGACATTATTTTCTTGACAACCTAATATATATTTTCTGAAAGCGGAGAACGAGACGGTTCCAGTGGTGACCATCTCGCCGTAAAAAATGTTCATCTACAAAATTTATAAATTTTTTATGTTAAAAACTCCAAAATGTCCAGAAATCACTATTCACACCCGTTACCAAGCACTTTTTTCTCCGCAGACTCCTATATTCCTGTACACAAACAATTCACGTACAATTAGCTCCTTTGCTTAACCTTACCTCACTGTTGATTTTTTTCTCGGCTTTTGGTGAAGGGGGTCACCTTGGTCCCGGCTCAGGAGTGAAGAGGGGGTGAGAAAATTCTCACACTATCGCACCTGTGCCCTGGGCCGAGAAAATAGCCCCTAAACCGGCGCGCGTAACCCTTATCGGCGCGCGCTCGGACGGCTTCGCTTACCGTTCTGCGCGGGACCCCACCACTGCTCTCCCGCATTGTGTATGCTATCCAAAGCAAAAATTACAGGCAGCAGGGTCTTCGTGCCAGGAATTCCCAACTTTCCACTGAAATTCTCGTCCGAGCTGCCTTTTGGAAATTGGGTAAACGCCCCGAAAAAGGTCTTTTCACCCATTTTAAAGCTCAGATTTGGGGTCTACGGGTCGGAAAGGCCCAAAACGTGCAAAATGATGGAAATGCAAAATCTGCCGGGACACTGCCTTTAATTTGGGGTCGTGGCCGGGGTGTGGCCGAGCCGCGGCTCTTCGTTCATGTCCACATTGCACCGGCCGAGCCGCGGGAGGGAATGGGCTCACCGGGTCAGCCGCGGCCCTTATAATGGGGCGGAGCACTGCAGCGGCCGAGCCGCGGACCAAAATCCGTGTAAGAATCTCCGGCCGGGCCGCGACGCATGTCAAATGAAGGCCGCGACTCGGCCGCCTTTGATGTTTGAGTGAAAAGGATACTTGCGTGATGTACGACGCATGGTCAGGCTGCCCTCAATAGCCGCCCTGGTGTTCTCCGAGGTAGGAACGCGATCATATGTTGTCTTATGAACAACCTTCGATCGCATCTTGGTGTTATCCCCTTGAAGTCGGACTGGTTTCCGAAGCTGCTATATCGGTGGCCCTGATTTTGGTTTTTTATTGTGTATTTTCTTATTGCCATGTTGCGCCAAGGCTCAAATAGACCGAGCGAATGAACCATGGACGACCCGACGACCAACTGCGGCTGGGCCGAGACCCACCTGCGGCCGAGCCGAGGCCCAATCTCCGGCCGGGCCGCGGGAGCTGCGAAATTCCAGCCGGAAAATGGTCGCGGTCCCCTCCCAGTGTCTATATCACAATTATATCGCAAACGCAAGAACTCACTCAAGGCTCTTTCGAAGTTTGAAACTCTTGAAAATCGGTCATTATTACTGATTCAAAAAGCAAACAAGCACAACTTTGAACTGAATTTTGAATTTTTTGCCGGACAGCCTAGGGAGCGTTTAAAAACAAGAATTGTGGTGATTTTGTTCCCGCAGCCTTCGCGAGTTAGATAGAAAAATGAAAGAGAAGGAAGAGCTGCACTGAATGACTTCCTAGGTGGTCACGTTCGATGTTTTATGGTTTGGAGTGCCAAATATGGAATTTGTCAGCACCATTATCAAAAATCCAAAAGGCTAGCTATAAAGCCAAAAAATTGTGTTGTAATGCACTTTGCTTCTTCTAATACTGTGCTGTACAAAGCTCTTGAGTAAAACTAAAATTTCAAATAGCCGCTAACTTTAGGTAGGTGAAACACAGGGGTTTAAAGTTCTGACATTTAATCGAGCAATCATCAAAAAACTCGGAAGAACATCATTGCTAGGAAGAGGAAGAAGTTTTGCATCGATCATCTAGAGCGTTTGTTATTGCTATTCTGAGTGGTTTTAGGTTGAATTTCCGACTATCGAAACGAACTATCCGACACCGACCGACTACTCAATATTACCCCTGAGCATCAGCGTTATCAAAATCAGCAAAAACTATTCAAATTTCTTTACGGAACTTTTGAGGCTTGGAACATCCCCCTCATTTGGAAGCAAATATCGGTCTGTTATTTATCACGCGGACCTCACGTACACAAATTATCCCTTCGACCCCTAATAAATGATCAAAAGTATTCTATCAAAAATCTCAGTCATCTCAGTATGAAAATTTCTTGCCTTGAGATATTTCTCCAAGCTTTCTTGCGACAGGTAATCTCACTGTACACAACATCAAGGCGATCTCTTTTCCATCTTACCGAAGTATCCATATACCACATTGCGCCAAACTCCTTCAGCATCATCTTAATCAGGCCGTCTCATATATTCGAATTATGTCTGTTCAATAACAAAAATTACTGCTCCAGTATTGACTCACTGCAATGAGGAGGGGTTTCCATCTGTACTGAGTCAAGTCATGCACATAATTCGGGAAAGCTCCAAATGGAAAACTGCGCAATTCCACCAAGCATTTATTCTAAAAGGTGAAAATTTCAATAGCATGAGGACGTTTCACAAGGATCTCACTTGTAGGACTCTCTTTGAATTTCGTTCAAGACCCAAGTCGTAAACGATTATCTTTTGACGCGGCCACAAATTACGGAGGTTAGCGACCTGCAAAAAGGCTAATCACTTTCTAGATTATTCGAAGAACAGCATAATGAAACAAGTTGCCCCTTGAG